GCCCATAGCGTCTGGGGGGGTGGGGAGGATGGAGGGGGGTTGGGGGGCAGAGAGATTTTGTGTGCGCACTACTTATTTATTTTTTTAAAAAAAATGCTTTTACGTGGTTTTAGGTTCTTTTGAATAAATAATAATTATAAAAAAAAAGGTGCACATCTTGCTGCTGTAGGGTTCTCAGAGGGTTAATTTCTTTATATATATATGTATCTCACAGTAAATATTTGTATAAAAATGAAAGAGAAATAGAGATGTCTTTAAGTAAATTATTGCTTTTAAAGAAACTTCCATGACTGTACAGTGTTACCTGGGAGAATAGAATAATATATACAGATGTATTTTTAAACTGCTGCATTGGAGGAGGTGACCTGGGCTGGGGAGCGCCTGCGGCCGGCACGGTGAGGGGGGATTCGGGCCCTCCCCAGCCCCCGTTCATGCACCCCCTTCCCCGAACCCCGCTAGTGAGGTTCTAGCTCTGGCGAGTCGTCACATATATACTGTATAGTCCTCGTCCTGGCCATGGACCATGCCGGTACATAGTGTATAAATATTATTTTTGCCTACCTGTGAGCGCTCTGAGCTACTGGTCTTTTTTTCTACCACCAGGGAGCATGGGGAAGGCTGCCCAGGGGTAGCTCTGATCACATGAATTGGTAAAGAAAAGGGGGGAAAAAGAAAAAAAAGGTGAAAAAAGCCAAAGAGTGGTGTTTGGTGCTCGGGTTCCCCAGGGGGGCTAGAAAAGCACAGGGATGCTCTTGGGGTGCGGGTTTTGGTGTTGGTCATGGCAGGGATGGAGCTGGATCCCCTTGGAAAGGGCGCTCAGGGCCAAACAAGCGGACATGTCCCCCTGAAAGCAGCCGCCGGCCATTTCCTCCGAGCCGAGGCCACTCCATCCATGGAGTTAACTCTGGCGTTACACTTGATCCTTGGAGGATGGCGGGAGTCCGAGAAAGGAAAGAGCCTCTAATCCTCTTGGCCAGCATCTCGTAGGGATTGTGCTCGGCCAGGGCTCAGGGCAGCAGCACCAGCTGTCCTGGTTGGGAACCGGGGGCCGGGGGCTGGACCCGCTGCTGCTCCCCCTTGGCTTCACCCCAAAAAGATGCACCGGTGAGAGCAGAAAGTGGCCGCATCCCTGTGCCCCAAAACCACCGGCTGGAAAGAGCATCCTCCGCCCCCGAGAGAGGCGTGGTGTCCCCCCTCGGCTGGGCAGCGGGTCCCTGGGGCTGGGGGCTGTCGGGACGAGCCTTAGCTTCTCATAACCGAATTTAGTGCACTTAGTCTTTTAGGGCTGGGACAATCACTTAGCGCTTAACCTTTTGCAATTCGGTGCCTGCTTGACCTTCAAACCTTTTGTAGGAGATGAATTCAGAGCCACCTTTTCTATCTTTAATAAGGCAGAACAAATACGTTTATTTTTAAACCCGCCTGCTCTTTCCTTTCCTCTCGTGCTGACAACCAAAAGAGTCCCCTGTGTCCCCTCCCTCATTTCTTGCACGCTGAAACGAGTGTGTGGCAGCGGGTCCGGCGCTCCGGCTGGATCCTGCTCTCCCACCCCCCTAATTCAGGGATGCTGCCACGGGGGGGTTGGCGCAGGGCAGGATCTGGCCACGTTACGAGCGGGGAGGGGGCATAGGACGGTGCCCGACCCGATGCCACCCGTCACCCTGCCGAGCCCTGGTGCCCACCAGCCGTGCACATCTATCCTGCTGCCCCCTCCTGGGGGCACCATCTTTCCTCCATTCCCCCCCCCCCCCAAAACATACCCCGGTGCTTCCCCAGGCTTGGCCCCGGGCGGTTAGGGGACCGAGACCCAGCACCAGTTCACACAGGCAGGTTGGCAACTGGGAGCACTGGTTTCCCAGCGGTAAAACGCCGAGTCTGTTGGCTGGGGCAATGGTGACGTGCAGCGATAGAGAAGCTGATGGATGCAATGAAAGTATCTGTACCTTTTCCACCTCCGGTGTTTCTCTGTCTCATTGCACATATATTTGAGATATATGTGACAATGTATATATATATTTGTAAAATGTATTTCAGATGACAAAACTGGCCAATTTTATGTTATTTTAAATATATTATATATATTATATATAAGAGTCTCCAAAAGATATAAATAGACTAGAGAAAATAATATAAATATGTAATAAATGTATTTTGATCTATTTAAAATACCTCGCGTCATGCTGTATATTTTGAAGATCATAGGGAAGGGTCTGACTGTAGCAAACTTCAGATGTGGTTTCGAGGCTGTCAGTCATCACACGTACAGCGTATATGTGCAGCAAACTTTGAGGGAGGCCGGCGGCCAGCGGGACAAATACAGCTGGTTTTTAGGAGCCTTTTAGCAGATGTCCGCCCTGCTGCCTCTAGGTAGGAGCAGAAACCCCAAATCTGGATTTTCCTCGTTATCCTGCAGGGGAGAGGATCATTTTTCCTCTCCACTGGGGAAGGGGCTGCAGGGATGCTCAGCAGGATGGGGGGGCTGCGGGATCTCACCCTCCCCGCGCAGCCCCGCACGTGGGTGCTGTTTGCTCCGCTGC